TGTTTAGATATCAGTGGAACAGTCATGGAACCACTAAAAAATAGCTAATTATCATGCAAATTAGGTAATTAATATGCACGAATTTTTACCAAAAATTAATCAAATCTGCGCATATGTTCAGAGCATCTATGTACCAAGTTTCATCAAAATCCAATGAGTGGTTCTTTAGATATCAGTGGAACAGTCATAGAACAGCTAAAAATTAGCTAATTATCATGCAAATTAGGTAATTAACGAGCATGGATTTTTACCAAAACCTAATCAAATCTGCGCATTGGCCCAGAGCATCTATGCACCAAGTTTCATCAAAAACCGATGTATGGTTCTTGAGATAGCAGTGGAACAGTCGGACACACATACACACACACACACACACACACATACACACATACACACACACATACAGACACACTAACTGCAAAGACTCCCATTTTGTGCTTCGCACATGGGAGTCAAAAATTGTGGCCTTTATATACAAAAATGTAATATAAGCAGCGAACTGTGATGGCCAGACATTTTGAATGCATCAACTGCCATCTCAAACTATATGAGCTGTTACTATGTGTTACAGAAAAACCATCACGCATGGCTTACAAATTCTGCTAACAGATATTATTACGAACATGTAAAAGTGGACTTTCACCCCGGTAGATAATGTAAATGGCAGATTTTGTGGAGTTCATGTACATCAGTGACTCTTAAGTCTGGTTACCAAGCATACTGAAAAGAATTAAAATTTATAATGCATTACCACATTTCTGAGATTTAAATATTTTTTTATTACAACCTTGGAATAAAATTATGAAATCACAGAATAGGAACCCTTATCCATACGCTCTTTGGCAGATACCCAGCGTCTCATCACAGTTTCTTGAACTTTGAGTCTCTCCAGACATCTTGGTGACTTCATTTCCTCAGCCGTCATATCAGATGGCTTGATGACATGACAGAACATAATCTCCTGCAAGAATTGGGAAACAAAACGTAATTCTCAAATGTCTGTGTAAATGTGAGAAACATCCTCAAAGTTGAAAACACCACTAACATGCTTTATGCAGTAATTTTGGACATGATTCTTCACCATAACTGACAGAAACATTTCTAGCAACAAAATATAACAGTAGATATTATCATTTCTAGTAAAAAAATAATGTAATGAGAGAAATTTTCTAGCAAGAGAGAATATAATAGTAGGAAAACATTTCTGATGAAAGAGAATGTATTTGTAGACTGTATCAAACATTAGTTTAATGTGGGATATGGTACATTGTACAAAGCAATTGCTCACTGAATATTTTTATTGTGGTGTAAGTCGGTAATCACCTTTGGCCTTTGCAACATACTCAGATTGATTCAATCACTCATACTAATACATTTCCATGGCAACAATCAAGATGTTGCTGATGCAGTAAATCAGTAGCAAAATTCTCTTTTAAATCAACGCTACATCTAAAGGGAACACAGACCTTAGCAGCATGCTCCGTGACCCTGCTCATTCCACAGATAACTGGCCAGGTTAGAGGGCGCTGTTCATCTTCACAGGAGAGGAGGGTGTCTTCGTCAACCATTGATATTAACACAGAGTAGGTGGAGTGGTAGAATGGAGGTCCTTGTTTGTAAACAACTACAAATAAACAAAGAAAATGTAATTTTTAATGATTTGGCATACCCAGTATACCGTATTACAGATTCCAGAAAGTGTTTCCATGTGAAGAGAATTCTTTGATTGTTACTTAGCAACAAAGGTTTGTCTTTACTAATGTTGCTGCATAGATTGATCCAATAATGCACCATGTTTTAATCTATTCCAAAATAAAGAACCACGAAAAGGAATTTCACATTGTATACAAATGACCATCGTGATTTTACACATGTGCATCTGACATCAGAAAATTCATCTACTGTAGAATACTTTATTTTAGCTGGAATTAATTTTTGCTGAAAAGGCTTCTTGGATGTTTTGTTTGGAATATATTTTCACTGATTTTTGATGAGTTGAATGTGAAATATAGGAAAAAAAAGTATATTCGCTGGATTTTATTTTCACTGAAGCATCCCTTCAGCAAAAATAGCGACAATTCTACAGCAAATGACTATAATCACCTGTAAAACATATACCCAATCAGAGTGACACAAGAACATGGCAATGCTTATATAAAACAAAGGTAAAATGTCAAGTCACCAAAGAGGGTGCACTGTAACACAGTCTAATGTAATACAATCTGGCTGAACATGATATGCTAAGGTACAGTTGCCAGGCAATGGCTGCATAAACAAACATCGGCTGGCCAACAGTGTGCCCTCTATACCGATAAGACTGACGCCACCGACATTTCAAGATTTGTTGTGATGCAACTACATGTAGTTGTGCTAATTCATAGTAAATCATACATAAACCATATTTGCTCTTATGTATTCTGAAACATAAAATCATAATGACTTGTTTCAGAATAAGCAGTCATGTATTAGAAATAAAGAAGGGTAGACATACGCAACCCAAATCACCTTTATAAGGCAGAATCTGTAAGCAATGTTCCCAGATCAAAATTGAAAATGAAGAACATTTCTTCATGGAATGTACCAAACAGAAAGACAAAAGTTATTTAATAATATCAATATTCCAGAAGAATTGAAAAGTGATGACCATATATTTAAATATATTATGAGTTCAAGAGAAGACGTACTAATAAGACAAGTTGGTGAATACTTATACAAAATATTTGAAATCAGAAATAACAATAACTGACATTTTACTTTTACTTTAGTTTTATATTGTACTTTATTAATAACATGTTATTTCTTGTCAACCAATGGGAACTATTTCTTAAGGATGCATTAAATTCATTATTATTATTATTATTACATTAATGTATAGTATTCTTGAAAAACATTTTAGTGTAGTTATGTAATTTGGTAAAAAGAAATTCCCATTTTATAAACAAAATAGGTGTAAATATGAAGGAAATCGGGGGTCACAAAATTTGTACTTGTACATCATTCTGTGTTATAGTCACATACAATTTTATTTTTTTCTTGAAGACTAACCTCCTCAGCAGTTGACAAGATGATGTAACTGTTATTCAGGTTTCCTACAAAATCAGTTCTGTGAAGGGGCACAGTGCTGGCAATGGTGATGAATGAATCAGGGGCACAGTGCTGGCAATGGTGATGAATGAATCAGGGGCACAGTGCTGGCAATGGTGACAAATGAATCAGGGGCACAGTGCTGGCAATGGTGAATGAATCAGGGGCACAGTGCTGGCAATGGTGAATGAATCAGGGGGACAGTGCTGGCAATGGTGACAAATGAATCAGGGGCACAGTGCTGGCAAAGGTGATGAATGAATCAGGGGCACAGTGCTGGCAATGGTGACAAATGAATCAGGGGGACAGTGCTGGCAATGGTGAAAAATGAATCAGGGGCACAGTGCTGGCAATGGTGATGAATGAATCAGGGGCACAGTGCTGGAAATGGTGACAAATAAATCAGGGGTACAGTGCTGGCAATGGTGACAAATGAATCAGGGGCACAGTGCTGGCAATGGTGAATGAATCAGGGGCACAGTGCTGGCAATGGTGACAAATGAATCAGGGGCACAGTGCTGGTAATGGTGAATAAATCAGGGGCACAGTGCTGGCAATGGTGACGATGAATCAGGGGCACAGTGCTGGCAATGGTGACGAATGAATCAGGGGCACAGTGCTGGCAATGGTGACGAATGAATCAGGGGCACAGTGCTGGCAATGGTGACGAATGAATCAGGGGCACAGTGCTGGCAATGGTGACGAATGAATCAGGGGCACAGTGCTGGCAATGGTGAATGAATCAGGGGCACAGTGCTGGCAATGGTGACAAATGAATCAGGGGCACAGTGCTGGCAATGGTGAATGAATCAGGGGCACAGTGCTGGCAATGGTGAATGAATCAGGGGCACAGTGCTGGCAATGGTGACGAATGAATCAGGGGCACAGTGCTGGCAATGGTGACAAATGAATCAGGGGCACAGTGCTGGCAATGGTGACGAATGAATCAGGGGCACAGTGCTGGCAATTGGTGACGAATGAATCAGGGGTACAGTGCTGGCAATTGGTGACGAATGAATCAGGGGTACAGTGCTGGCAATGGTGACGAATGAATCAGGGGCACAGTGCTGGCAATGGTGAATGAATGAATCAGGGGCACAGTGCTGGCAATGGTGAATAAATCAGGGGCACAGTGCTGGCAATGGTGAATGAATCAGGGGCACAGTGATGGCAATGGTGACGAATGAATCAGGGGCACAGTGCTGGCAATGGTGACAAATGAATCAGGAGCACAGTGCTGGCAATGGTGAATGAATCAGGGGCACAGTGCTGGCAATGGTGACGAATGAATCAGGGGCACAGTGCTGGCAATTGGTGACGAATGAATCAGGGGCACAGTGCTGGCAATGGTGACGAATGAATCAGGGGCACAGTGCTGGCAATGGTGAATGAATGAATCAGGGGCACAGTGCTGGCAATGGTGAATAAATCAGGGGCACAGTGCTGGCAATGGTGAATGAATCAGGGGCACAGTGCTGGCAATGGTGACAAATGAATCAGGGGCACAGTGCTGGCAATGGTGAATAAATCAGGGGCACAGTGCTGGCAATGGTGAATGAATCAGGGGCACAGTGCTGGCAATGGTGACAAATGAATCAGGGGCACAGTGCTGGCAATGGTGACGAATGAATCAGGGGCACAGTGCTGGCAATGGTGACGAATGAATCAGGGCACAGTGCTGGCAATGGTGACGAATGAATCAGGGGCACAGTGCTGGCAATGGTGACAAATGAATCAGGGGCACAGTGCTGGCAATGGTGAATGAATCAGGGGCACAGTGCTGGCAATGGTGACGAATGAATCAGGGGCACAGTGCTGGCAATTGGTGACGAATGAATCAGGGGTACAGTGCTGGCAATGGTGACGAATGAATCAGGGGCACAGTGTTGGCAATGGTGAATGAATGAATCAGGGGCACAGTGCTGGCAATGGTGAATGAATCAGGGGCACAGTGCTGACAATGGTGAATAAATCAGGGGCACAGTGCTGGCAATGGTGAATGAACCAGGGGCACAGTGCTGGCAATGGTGACAAATGAATCAGGGGCACAGTGCTGGCAATGGTGACAAATGAATCAGGGGCACAGTGCTGGCAATGGTGACAAATGAATCAGGGGCACAGTGCTGGCAATGGTGATGAATGAATCAGGGGCACAGTGCTGGCAATGGTGAATGAATCAGGGCACAGTGCTGGCAATGGTGACAAATGAATCAGGGGCACAGTGCTGGCAATGGTGAATGAATCAGGGGCACAGTGCTGGCAATGGTGACGAATGAATCAGGGGCACAGTGCTGGCAATGGTGACAAATGAATCAGTGGCACAGTGCTGGCAATGGTGACAAATGAATCAGGGGCACAGTGCTGGCAATGGTGACAAATGAATCAGGGGCACAGTGCTGGCAATGGTGACAAATGAATCAGGGGCACAGTGCTGGCAATGGTGACAAATGAATCAGGGGCACAGTGCTGGCAATGGTGAATGAATCAGGGGCACAGTGCTGGCAATGGTGACAAATGAATCAGGGGCACAGTGCTGGCAATGGTGACGAATGAATCAGGGGCACAGTGCTGGCAATGGTGACAAATGAATCAGGGGCACAGTGCTGGCAATGGTGACGAATGAATCAGCAGTTACATTCATATTCTGAGGAAATTTACAGCATTTGGTCTGTTTTGGAGTGAATCTATATATTACCCATCAAAACAAATCAGCATATCAATCATTGAGAAGACATTCATGAACTATAACGCACCTTATATAGCATTGTCACAGCACCTCATAACTTCTTCAGAAATCCTGGGAATAAGGAACGACGTCAAAAGATCGATGTCGGATAAAAAACCTATTTGCTTCAGTTTTGGGGTGGAGGGAAGACCTCAAAAAGTTTCCATCTTACAAAAATGATTATATTTTTTAATGAAGTCAAAAAAATCTTGGAGTATTTGTATTTTTTTTTTTTTTTCTATCCAATCATGGACAAAAATAACAGAAAATAAAAAAAAAACACATCAAAGACGAGAATATGGTTTGGTCCAAACATAAATATGCGTGTCAAATGAGGTCAATTTTAGGGCATGTACCCACGGCATGTGCAGAACCCAGAAAAGTAGTATATTTCCTTTTTTTACATCCACCCGACAACCAACTGCTATGCTATACTACTGTCCGATTATCAATTTGTATTCAATGGTGAATGTAGTCTGACGCCATGATCAATATTTATAAATGAAGTTTCAGTGGGGGAGGGGGGTGGAAAAAACTAATGGAATTAAGTTTTTTATCCTACATTGAACTTTTGATGTTTTCCCTAAGGATTGCAAATATCTGCAACTTAACCTTTTTTGTGGCAAATTCAACTTTTGTCACAATTCATCAAATAAAACCTAAAACCTAATTCTTTTCCATTTTTTTCCAAAATTTGGATCAACACATGTAGCTAATAGAAAATTATTTCCATTAGGTCCAAAATAATAAGAAAAACACATAAAAATAAACAAAATATTGCCTCAACAGATTGGCAAACAAATCAAGTCAAGCAAAAGTCATTCTTGGGTTGTTTGACTACATAATGTCTACAGCACTCACAATACTTACTGTAATCAGAACCAAATTTAATGCCCGTTTTTGGAACCCAACCTTTGCTTCGTATGTAATGATACACAGCATAGGAAGAAATGAATCGCGGATTAATTGCACAATATCTCAACCACATATCACTTAGATTTAAAGAATTCTGTAAAGAAGTAAACACAGAAGACTGTATAAATAAATAGCTGTGTTATGATGATGATGATAAACCTAAGATCTTGAGTTAGGATAGTGGTCATATCTTCCTGAATATATTTTCTGTAGCACAAAATGATGATAATGGCAAGCATGTGTGACAGTGTTGATCACACTGGATATACTAGTGTTGTTTTGTTGGGAGGGGGGTGGCAGTTACCTTGTCTTTATCCAGAACCGTCAGACAGCCTAACCCATAGGACAAGAAGAAAGCCTGCAATGAAAATAGCAGAAGGGAGGAAATTAAGGGAGAACAATATAAAACAAGCCATGCATGGCACAGTCCCTGTTAGTTATCAAATTTAAGATATATAGTTTTGTTTATAGTAATATAGCTGAAATATAACCATGTCAGGAATATGATTGTTTACCATTAAAATGATTGACATCTGTATTTGATCGTCAAACAAGTACTTGTCCATATTGGGAGATATTACTCTGGAACAGCATTAATTAAAACAAAAACAGCCATTTTGAATAATGTATATATCAATAACATGATGTATAATGAATATATAAAATTTGAACATAATCAGTCAAAGCATATGTCAGAGATATAGCTCTCGAAGCCCAATCATTAAAACAAAATGGCCGCCAGTCAGCCATTTTGAATCCGATCTGAAAAGTAAAATGATGTGCATCAGGAACCCGTAATGACTAATGAATGTACCAAGTTTGAACAAAATCCATCCATAAATGCCAGAAATACTTGGTATTTGATGATTTTTTAGCACAAAAATGGCCACCATTCGCCCATTTTGAATAGGATCGTCAAACCAATACATCTGTAAATCTATGACATGATGTATAATGAATATTAAAAATCTGAACATAATCAGTCAAAGCATGGGTCTAGAAGCCCATTCATTTAAAACAAAATGGCCGCCAGTCAGCCATTTTGAATCCGATCTGAAAAATAAAATTGTTTGCATCAAGGTCCCATAATGTCTAATGTATATACCAAGTTTGAACAAAATCCATCTGTAAACAGCCGAGAAATGCTTGATTTTTAAGATTTTTAGCATAAAAATGGCCACCATTCGGCCATCTTGAATCAGATCATGAAAAAAATTGATGTGTATATGTATAATATCATGTATGATGTATGTGTGAAGTTTGATCATGATTCGTCCAGGCATTTCTAAGATACAGGTCCGAACGCACACAGGGAAACACGAACGAACAAGGGGCAAAACATAAGTTCCCGTTTTCGGACTGTGTCCGAACGGGGACTAATAAGAAGGACTTGCATAAGTACATGCTATAAAGCAAATACAATACACCATCTTTGAATGCATGTTCATATATAAATTATGTTTCAATTATTAAATGGTATTTAAGCCCAAATCTATAATATAATAAATAACTGTTTAAAAACAACAGCAGATTTTCCAAGTAAAATATATCTTATATGGTAAAGCGAAACTGTAATTTCCGATGCTTACCTCTTCTAGACTAAGTTGTAAATACTCAAAAACTTGATACGGATCATCTTTTTTTATCGATTTTCTATTTTTATGCTAGAAAAGATAGACAGAATAAATTTAATACATTTGTCATATCGAAATGAAAATCATAAAAAAACGATTAGTTCAATTGTTTATTTTTTAACTCAACATAATGAAACTGTGTGTTGAGAACTACATGATAATAGGTTCACACACATCCATTTCGAACCCCCCCCCCCCCAATTCATCAAACAGCATTGATTAATAATTGGGGAGGGGGCTAGATTAATACCATCCTCTTCCCACACCAAATAGTATTGTTCATGCATAAATTGGTAAAAATACTAAATATATGTTTATCACTCACCCTCCCCTCATCTTGTCCTAAATCCTCAATCTCAAAAAGAATAAGTTATTGAACAGACTTGTATTGAAGATATTGTTCTTGTCAAAAAAGGCAAGGCCATGCAAAAACTTCACTGTTTCCTACTACATAGGCAAATCTATGCAATACAAAGCGCATGTTTGTACAATTATTCTGATTTGATTTTCAATGTTTAATTTAATCTTGAAAGTTCTATGGCTGCTATTTCAACTACTGTGAAATAATTTATTTTAGCTGGAATTAATTTTCGCTAAAAAGACTTTTTGGGTGTTTTGCATGGAATTTATTTTCACTGAATCATTCTTTCAGCGAAAATAGCAAAAATAACATATTTCACAGTATAACTCGATCTCCAATATTCACCTTTATATTTCCATGGCTGTCATCTTTCACTGTTGATGGAATTGTTGTTTGTGGCATCTCTTCTTCATCAGCTTCATCAGACGACTCCACAATATCACTGCTTTCCATGCTCATCTGCGTACTATCAATTCTAGCAGATTCATTTCTGACATCACACAATTGAGTGCATTCTGTGCGTTCATCTGAACTCTCCATTTTATAGTCATCCTTGGTGACATCATCACATTGTGTGCACAAAATGACATCATCATTATCTGAGCATTTATTTTTTGCATTACAGGGAATGTCATCGTGTTTATGTAAATGGTTGCTTGTTTTATCTTCCATTAATTCTCTTTCTGCACATTCTATTTTGTCATGTTCAATAAATTCTGATTTTTCTATTTTGTCATCCCTAAAACTAATATTTTTACTTTCTGTTGGAACATCATCTAGTTTATTAACTGTTTTGTCACTTGTAGTGACAATATCTTCCATAGTAGTGACATCATCATTTCCTACAGTGACATCATCAATTCTTGCAGTGACATCATCATTTCTTGGAGTGACATTATTGTATCCTGCAGTGTCATCATCATACCCAGTTGTGACATCATTATTAAAAACAGAAGAGCATGTCCTCGCTGCATCAGTTTTTACTGTGACATCATCAGTTTGTGTCGCACCATCATCATCATCATTTCCTGTGCTGATGTCAAATAGTTTCATCTTTTTTGCAGTTGGTCCATCATTTTCATCACTGCACATGTACTTGGGCTCAAAACTTGTTGATTGGGTAGGATCTGTATCATTCTCACCACGGAAATCAAGGGGAAAATGTTCTTTATACTCTTTATACCACTCCAGATGTCTCATATACCTAAAAAATGTATATATGAAACAGGAAAATTGATTATGAAACTGCCACTTCAACTGATGCCCCCCTCCCCACTCCACCAAGAGTAGGGGGAGTGGGACTTTAGTTACTGATCTATACCATGACTTTTGGCATGATAGAATATTACATATGATTTGTAAGGTAACAAAAATACATCACATTAAGGGAAGAGTAGGAAATCAAACGGGCGGTGCACCGCGGTGGTGGTGGGTGCTCGCCGGTCGACCGCATTTTATGCAAATTTATGCATAGATTCCATGAAGCCGGCTGACTGTGGTCTTCCGTGGTGGGCTCGCACAGCAATTCACACTTATTGTCAAGACCATTAATGAACACAAAGAACTGGGAAATTAAAAGGATCACAAAGTTCTAATGAAAAATTAAACTAATTTGGCTGAGCCAAAAGCTAGGAAACTAGTCTATAATAGTTGACATTATTTTATTTGCCTAAGCCTTGGAATAAAATCACAAAACGATCCAGAAAGACGTAGAGATCAACATAATATAAAATATGATCGCATTATTTTGTGAATATATATCATGCATGGTCTCAGAAAATGTTTAGAAAGATTAATGTTTCGCGTAGACCAAATATAATCATGCATAAGTATAAATTCAAAGTGGTGAGATGTCGCATTTACGTGAACAAGAACATGCACTAAGAAGGAAAAGCAAGCCAAAGTCGAAACGGGGTGTATCATGGACTTGGTACAAAATGCACTGCGACAATTGAGTGATCGTCGACATCATTTTGGGGCACAATTGAACTTCAAGTACGTTGCGAAACTTGCTACGCGGCGATGCTGACATCAAGTGTGTGTTGACCGAAGTTTGACCCCAAGTCACGCACTAAACTGGCGCGTTACCTTAGCAACCCTTTTCTTTCTTGGTCCGCGCTTCGATCTCGTAAATTTGTTATTGTATCCGATGGTACTGTAATAACACAACTTGTATCCAACTCTGTATTGGCTTTGAATATTTCAACATCGTTTACTTAGTGTGCTGCTTTTCTAATAACGCAAATACGTTATTGATAATGCGTTGCATTTGTAATTATCACGTAAATATAAACATGGGCGCATTTAAATCATTGAAAAAGATACAATGTAGTCAGGTTCCGGAGTCAGGTGTCCAACAAAAGTCGAGAAAATATTTTAAATACTTATGACTCATCGGTGAATTATTTTATTCGAAATAAAGTGAATATGTTATATTAACCATACAATAATATACAATATCATGCGTAATGTTAAATTTTTCTATAATAAACTCGCAGCGCACTTCGATCGCATTATTCGCGTACATTTCGACTGAACTCTAATAACCACGTGTTTGAATTACGTGCGGCAATGGGCAATGACCTCAATGAGTTCACGCACTGACATTTAAATTCGGGCCACTCAGTTTGACGCAAAACGATATACATGTAGTTACTTAACATTTGTTCAAAAAATCGGTAAACTCTCGCGAAGAGTTAACTGAAAGGCAACGTCATTTTTGACCAAAAAAAACAAAAAAACACGTCAATACAAGATTATGTGTGCAAGGTTAGATTCATAGAACGTACCGCTTAACTCTGTTTTTTTTTTTTTTTTAAATCATGTCGCACGTGAAACACAGGAGACATTTTAGTTCGTCCATTTCTTGTTTACCGATATTGAACTTTTTGTCTGGAATGCGATACAGGCAAAGAATAAACATTAATGATACCCACCGTTGTCAAATCAACAAGAGGCTCGAATCAGGAAGGCTCGGCTATTTAAAACTTCATAAATAACATTCTTTTCAGTGGTAGACTTTATTCAAGTGTAACAAACGTAAGTGAAATGTATGGACGAGTCATAATACTCGTACCTTCGAAAGTTACGACTTTTACTCTTGAAATTGGTGATAAATACATGCATAAAATACAACATTGTTTCACGCAACAACAATTCGTATACAGCATTATACTTATAGATTTTTATATTAATAAAATACGTGGGCTGATAATATTACTATATGCTTAGTATTTCCATGCCAGCGATGCTCGTAACCTGCTTGATTTAAAAACAGCTATTTGAATCAAAGACTCATGGAATCACAAAGGAAACTGTTAAGTACGTATTTCACACTTTTCCTACAACTGCGGTTGCAACCGGTATCGGTGGCCACCGCGGTAGAGACCCCTAATTATAAGCAGTCCGCGGCTCTTCTCGGTGTACCACGGAGAGCCGCGGAGAGCCGCGATGATTACCGCGGTGAACCGCCCATTTGATTTCCTACTCTTCCCTAAACGGGCATGACCTGTTTTGCCATTAATATTTGTTCATATTTAATCATGAATTAACCTGACAAATTATTGTGGAAATAAATAAAGAATACTGTCTATACTCTCTCACCTTCGTTTTCTGACCTGTTGAAACCTTTGTTGTTGAAATCTTCTCTCATTTGGAGGCACTGCTCAATATAAAAAAAAATCATTTCTGTTAATGTGATTGACCAGTAAAATACAGTGACCAGTTGGTCATACTGTGATAATTTGACCATAACGTGATGGATTGGTGACCTGATTCTCAGACTATCCTGATAGTGAAAACAGCTATTATCTCATTGAGGTTTTTTTAAACTGGGTGTAGCAGTAATTTTTGTGAAATTTAGGTCCAGAATGTAATCAGATTGTCTATGATTCAGGCAGTTATCCTTAAACACTATTCAAATTGTGTATTACACCTTCTACTGATTATTATTGTCACCATAATAAGAATTGAGAAAATAAGTTTCTATGGCAACTAATCTCGAAATATTGCAGCACTGAAGCTAGCATGTTCTTGACAAACAAGGTTGTGGTGTCCTATTACCAAATCAAAAGTAATGTTCATTGTTGTAATCATTTTCAGGTGTGCATTTTAGGATTCTGTTGATAAAGATTTCTCATGAACTGTGAACAGTGAACTGGTCACAGAACGGTAAATCCAAATCCCTATGACGCTTACAGGGGTCAGTGACAGGTTCTTTTTACAGATAATACAATGTGTGAATGCAAATGAAAATAAACATTCTTACTCACAGTTTTTCCTGACAGTTCCTTGATAAGAAGAAATAAATCTTTTATGTTCCGGCTTACTACGCGAGAACATTCCTTTCCCAAAGAAACCCTAAACAAGAAATATACATCATTAGAACCGTCACCCAAACACTCAGTAAGAATTTTGATGTGGTCGCATATTTTTATTGTAAAATTATCAATAAAAGTATGCTTTTATTTTGATTTTTTGAAACACTGACAAAAATTGGGACATCACACATTTTCAACTGATGTGCACATCAAATAAAAATCTGAATATGTTGACGAACTCTCAATGAGCAGTTGTAAAAATATTTGCTATATTAGGAGCACATGCAATTCTTTTAGTACACATGTAATGGATATGCACTACTAAAAGAAAAAATACAGTAAAGTGGTTTTATAAAAGTTCTTAGAAATTCTAAAAATTTGTGAATAAATTGTTTATTGCCATACAATCGGTGAAAAAAAAATGGGGTCACTGACAAATGATGAACCCTGACAATAAAATTAATACATGGAACTTGATTTGGTAAAGAGTAAAACAGAGTCTATTCAAAACATTTCTCCACAGTCTCTCTATCAGACGGTCTGTGATTTCTCTCATTATTTGGGGACTGAAGGTAATGAAATAATGTGTAGGAATTACATTTTTTTTTTAAATAAAGGACCTATACAGTTGTACCTCAGTTTTGATAGTCTTACATTAATACATGGGAGATACCAGTATGTGTTCTCATTAATACATGGGAGATACCAGTATGTGTTCTCATTAATACATGGGAGATACCAGCATGTGTTCTCATTAATACATGGGAGATACCAGTATGTGTTCTCATTAATACATGGGAGATACCAGTATGTGTTCTCATTAATACATGGGAGATACCAGTATGTGTTCTCATTAATACATGGGAGATACCAGTATGTGTTCTCATTAATACATGGGAGATACCAGTATGTGTTCTCATTAATACATGGGAGATACCAGTATGTGTTCTCATTAATACATGGGAGATACCAGTATGTGTTCTCATTAATACATGGGAGATACCAGTATGTGTTCTCATTAATACATGGGAGATACCAGTATGTGTTCTCATTAATACA